TTTAAGCCCTTTTCTCCTACTGAGAGCCTCCTACACCTCCATATCAGGCACATGGGGCCCTTCCAACATGACCTGGGTCTGACTTTAAAATAAGATGAGAGAAGTGGTATGTTAAACAACTGGATTTGGAGCCAGAAGAGCTGGGTTCAAATCTAGCTCTGAAACAGACTAGCTGTATGACGCCAGGTGAATCATTTAACCTATTTGAGTCTCAGGCTAATCATCTATAAAGGGGGACTAATAATACTTAATCTATCTACCTTACACAACTCTTAATGAGGAAAATGCTTTGTAAGCCTTAACAGGCTCTACAAGTGTGAATTATAAATTATGAGTTATTATTATTATGGGTTGCTGTGTATCTGTCAGTAATGAAATTCAATTATCCAGAAGTGGATTATAAAAATCCAATAGTGGGAAAGCAAGGTAGGAAAAGGGGAAGCCCCAAAGCCAGCCTGATTTGGGTGTGGGTAGACAGAAGTCAGAAACACAGGCTAAAAGAGATAATACCAGAGAGCAGGTTGTGCTGACCTACTGTGAAGAAGTCAGTATACTGAAGAAACCTCCAGGCATCGTAGGTCAGTTAGCTTGAATATGTGCCTTCTACCCCCCACCCCCCAAAAAAGAGGAATTAGGAAGGGAAAACTCTGCCATCATGTCTAATCTGGGGGTATTGTGCTATGAGAAGGTTTTGATGTTTATGATGCTTCCATTCAAAGATTAATTGAGGGGGTGGAGGTTAATGTTATCATTCTAGTCCAAAGTAAGGGATGATTTTGCTGCTGCAATAGTTTTAGGGGAGAATCTGAGGGCTGCCCCCAGAACTCGCTGCAGGCTGTGTGGGAGATTGACAAGAGTGAGGATTGAGGCAATAAAGCATCACCATCTCCATTCTGTTCCAGGGACCCTTGTGCTGAGACAAACAGCTGCAGCTGTACCAGGCCTGAATGGAAGACAGAGGGAGATACAGGCCCTTGATAAGGCTCTCCAGGCCTTGCCTCAACTGGAGGGCACTGAGCAGGCACTGGAGTGGGCTTTCTTGAGGGAATTCCTAGGAGGGGTTAAATAGAATTGACACTCAGACAAGTGCCTTCCTTGGGAGCATAAACCCACTGGTAGAAGCCCTCTCACTCTGGGCACTGGGGAGAAGGGACTGGGAGGAATGCAGATCCCCACTTCCCCAATGCCCAGACATGGATGGTCTAACTCCTGGAATCCAACACTCACCTGTTCTCTGGTCAGGCTTTGACACTGGCCCCTCACAGCCCTCCCCAGGGGAACTTGTTTCCTGAGCTCATGCTCTGACTGAAAAAGCAGTCTCCAGGAAGACAATTTTAGTTCCTAGAGTTAGAAGGGATGTGGTCCAGCAGGGAGATCCTTTGGGAAACCCTGAAATTATGCCCTGTGGCTTCCTGACAGACAAGACTAGAGACTCTAATGCGGCTTTTCAGGGCTGGTAGAGGTGGGGCCTGAGACAGATGAGGAGCCTTAGGGGTCCTTAAGATGGTGGGGAGGGAGAGACTTGGCTTGGCCTTCTAAGAAGAGGGCCAGGTACACTCCCACATGATTTCCTATGGATTGGCAGGGACTCAGTCCAGAGTGGGGGTGGCAGTGGGGGGATGGTGAGAAGCACTCTCTGCCTCCATCATTCTGTACAGGGTCAAATTCTCTACCTTCCCCCAACCTCAATCAATGTGAATAGTAGTCATTGTGGGAAACAACTGGGAAGACACTTTTGCAGCCCCCGTTTACTGCTCCTTGTGGAGCTGTTTCCCCGGAAACAGAATAATCACCAATAGCTAGCTAGCGCATGGCAACTGTGTGAGTTTGAATGTGTGTGTGTGCATGTGTGTGTGTTTAAGTGGATCAATACATGTGAATACGTCTGGGAGTGATTCTACTTGTGAGCATGTGTATATGAGAATATAAGCATGAGTGTGTGCTCATATGTAAGAGTGTATGTGTATATGTGTGTATGTGATAGTACTTTAATGTAATCATGTTTGGCAGTGGAGTAGACATGAGTGGGAAAATCTGCATTTGTGAGTGTGTGTGTGTGGATGAGAGAGTACATGAGTGTGATTGTGTGTGACAAGGGTTAGTTTGTATTTTTTCCTTTTAAAAATTATAAACTATAGTGTGGAAGAAATTTTACTCTTCTTCTCTCCCAATGCCTCATCATTGTCCATAGGAGACAAGGAAGTCCTGAGTAAGATGAATTTTTTGTGCAGATATTCATAACCGTGGCTCCTGCAGAAAACATTCTGCAAGTTCATATTGTAGGGATGACCCTTCTGACCAAACCCCACCAATGTTCAGGAAAAGGGTAGAAGCCATACTTGTTTAGGATCCTGGGGTCCTGTGCTCATATAAAATACAGAAGAGACTACCAATTGCAGCTATGTGTGTGATTTTATAATCCTCATAATTATATACAAACCAAGCCCTCCCTGGAAATGACCTTGACTGCTTGGAGTGCTATACAGGTTTCCCAAGGTCTTCTCTGATTGAGGGCTGAGATTCATACATGACTTCTTTCCAGCCCCTTTCTCTCCAAACTTCATTTTTTTCCCACTCATCACTTTTTTTGGTGCTTTACTCCTCCTATTTCCTGAGCTAGAAATAGAGCAATAAACTCTACAGTGATTAAATCACAAGCTGAACATTATGGTGTATATCATACATGACATATTATTAGATTATGACATATTTTAAACATAACAATGCTTCCATACCTCAATGGATCTGTGATCTCAGTGGTGTGGGCCCTCCTTCTATTGGCTCAGACCACAATCCCTTTATGCCTTCTCATTCTGACACCCTTATCAATGACTTTCCATACCCCAGCGGCCCCCCCCCCCATTGAATTTCTACCCAACATGCTTGAGACCTTGTGGACACTAATGCAACATTGAAGCTCTACATCTATTATCCTTTACTGTTACCACATGGCCAACCCACATCCTTTTTTGGTCTTACATGTCCTTAAGGATGAGTGTATTTTATGATTCTTCTGCACAACTCATTCTTTCTAATATGGGGCAAACTCCTTACATCCTTGAAGGGGCTTTTTATTGTCTCTTGGCACACCCACAAATTTGATTCTTCTCAGATGATAGTGTTGCATAATTTACAATCATAGAGCATCACTGGGAGAATACTGTTGAGAAACAGAAGGAGGGAGGGAGAGAGAAAGAGAGAGAGAGGGAGGGAGGGAGGGAGGGGGAGACAGAGAGATTTTCTCAGCAATTAGAGGCAAGTAATCATTAAAGTACTCATTTTCCAAATGTAATTTAGCCTGATTTCCTTCCTCTTATTCTGATCCCAGCTTATAGGCCATATGCAGTACCTGCTGAAAATGTACATACTGATAGATGTATGTCTACATATGGTTACTTGTTATAATCTAGGCAATAGGTTTCTTCCATCCATTTTGTCCATGTGGATGGCCATATCAGATTTTTTTTCCTTGGTGGTAATTTCACTGAGGAATTCTTGTCTGGCTTGGGGCTCAATGTCATTAGTTCAATGTCATCTGCAAAAGGACCTCTCAAGGATTGGCAGTGTTGTTTTTGTGGGGATGTCATGTAAAATATCCTCCCTGACATTGGTAATACTTCTGAGGGCAGAGTGGACAGTTCCAATTTTCTCAAGACATTTTTTTGTTGGTTCTGAGCAGAAGGGACTTCAGCCACTGTCTCTGCCTCTGAAGTTTTAGGTATCTCCTTTCCTCATCTCTTTCTGCTCCTACCTCTAGCCTGGGTAGGTTTACTTATTTTGTTTTTGCCTACTGCCCAGAAAAGACCATGAAATCTCAAGGTCTGGGGACTCCGCAGCTCTTCCCTTTCAATCTCAAGCCCTGCTCTGTCTCTTTGGGTCCCAAGGCTGTCATAAGTCGAAAGAAATAACTTGCCCCCACAAAGAAATGTCCTTTTTAGTTGACTTAAAACAGCAATTTTCCATTAGTTTTCCTTCATCTATCAGTTTTCCTTCTGATGTACCAGCTTAAGCCAGGAACACGGAGCCATGGTCCTGTTCCAAGACGAACACCTCCTCGTTTGTATCAAAATAACTTTCCCTTCAAACAGGCGGTGCCACCCCAACCAACTAGCGGACCCAAGCGGTCTCGCCGCTCCTGCTCCTACTTTGGCTTCAGCCCCCAGGAGGGGGCGGGGTATCAGGGAGGCCCCAGAACTCCAGGCATAGTAATCCCCGGAGACCACCCCTTCCTTCTCTGGTTTTCCGGACAAGTTCTACCCCTCCTCCCCCGGCCGTGGGACGGGAGGGACTCAGTTTCAGCCGTCTCCTCACAAGCGTGGGGGTGAGGGGGTGGAGGTGAGATGCAAAGGTGAGGGTGGAGATGGAGGGTTGGGAGGCTAGAGATAAGAGCAGGCTTGGGATGGCCTGGGAACCTGGGGAATAGGTATGGGGGAAACAACGCCCTGGGATCAGGGATTGGGGCGCGGAGGCGCCAAGGGTTAGTGATGAGTTGACTGGAGGCATTGGTGGCGGGGGGGGGGGGGCCGCGGGGGTTGGGGGGGGGCTCAGGGGAGTGAGGGACTTGGGTGCCAGGAGTCAGGGCTCCTGACAGAGCCGGGCAGAAGTGGAGCTGTGGGCGGCCCTGTCACTGGGGGAGTTTCGGGGGGGGGGTGCTGTGGGGGGCGGGGGGGAGCTCTCTGCGGTCGGCGCCGCCGCATCGGTTTCCCTGAGCCTGGCTGAGGCGGCTGCCGTGCTGGGAGGCGGCGGCGGCGGCGGCGGCGGCGGGAGGAGGAGGATGGGGTCCCCGGCGGCGGAGGGCGCGGCGGCGGCGGCCGCGGCACTGGGCCGGGAGGACGCGGGAGGATGAGGAGCCGGCAGGCGGTCCGGCCGCACCGCGCCGGGAGGAGGCGGGGGAGGCGGAGGGAGGCGGCGGCAGCGGCGGCGCCCGGGGCAGCAGCCGCGCGGGGTGTGGGCCGGCGGGGGCGCGGGCGCGGGCGCGGGCGCGGGCACGGGCGCGGACGATGAAGTGGAGCGTCCGCGGAGCCTGCGCCGCGCTCTCCTCCGGCCTTCTGCTCGCCTGCGCGCTCAGCGCCGCCGCCGTGGGGCTCAAGTGCTTTTCTCTGGGCTCGGAGCTCCGCGGGGAGCCCTTCCGCCTGGGCACCGCCGCCGGCGCCTTCTACTCGGGGCTGCTGCTGGCCGCCGGCCTGTCTCTGCTCGGCTCCGCCCTGCTCTGCTGCCGGCCCAGGGAAGAGAGCCCCGCGGGGGCGGTGCCTGGCGCCGGGGCCGGGCCCGGGGCTCTGCCGGGCTCGCTAGGGAGCCCGGAGGCCGAGCTCGAGAGCGGAGCGGCGGAAGCCCGGGCTGGTGCCGCGATCCCCGGCAGCCAGAACTTCCTCCTGCTCGGAGTCTTGGTCTTTATGCTCGGGGTCTTGAGCGCCTTCGCTGGAGCTGTGATCGACGGCGACACCGTGTCCCTGGTGGAGCGTAAATACTCGCACTACTGTGTGAAGCCGCGGGCCCTCGCCCCCGCTCCGGCCCAGGCCCCAGCGCGAGCCCGCAGCCCTTTGGACAGCTCCGAGAATGCCCCGGCGGCAGCACTGGCCCCGGCTCCGGCCCCGGCCCCGGCCCTGGCCCCGGCCCCCGCTCGTGTCCGCAGCACCCTGGACAGCTCCGCGTCGGCCCAATGTGAGAAGCTGAAGGATTACCAGCGCGGCCTCGTCATCTCCACCGTCTTCAACTCGCTCGAATGCCTGCTGGGCTTGGTCAACCTGCTCCTCGTTAAGAACTACAAGTCGTCGCAGGCGCGACGAGGGCGGCGCGGCCGGCGGCGGGGCGGCCGGGGCGGGCGGCCCCGCGGCGGCCCGGGCTCCCGCCAACACGCGCCCTCGTCCCGGCAGCAGCGGCGGGGCCGGCGAGGCAAGCGCGGCGGGCGGCGGCTGCTGCAGCGGCCCAGCGAAGGCTCCCTCTTTTCCCCGGACGAGACCGACCTCCCCTCCCCGGGCCTCAGCGGCGGCGGCTGCGGCGGCGGCTGCAGCGGCGGCCCCTTTCCCGGGGCGCGCCACGCCGTCTCCTACATCAACGTGGGCGTCTTCCACGCGTTCGATGAAGCCGGCGTGGAGGTGCGCTGCGGGGGACACCCCTCGGTGGAGCTGCCCGGCTACTCGCCCTCAGACCCAGAGCTCCAAGTCTCCTACCCCTACTGCTGCCGGCCTCCCCACGAGGACGTCTATCCCCGGGATCCGGGAAGGGTCAGCTGAGGCACGCTTTCCGCAGCCCACCCCGGGGACTGGCCGCCTCAAGCCCAAATCCGTGCCAGAGAATCGTTTTGTTCATCGGAAGGTGGGCAGGCTGGGGGGAAGGGGCGTAGTGGGCCACTGCCTCCGCCCCTAGGGGAGAGCGAGACCAGCTTCTCTCCAGTTTGGCATCTGCCGGGGGTCCCGGGGCGTGGGACCCCAGGCGCCAGCCTCTGCCCGTCCCTTCTCCGGCTGCTAGACTCGTCCCGCTGTCGGGAGCAGAGGCTTTGGCTGCTGGCCACTTCTGTGGTATTGGATGTCTGGGATGGGCACCAAGAAGGGAGTACATTTGTATTCAATTTTTATGTCTGGGGACTTCCCTCCTCTCCTCTGTGTCTGTTCGATATCCGGATTCCGTTTTAAAGTTTACAATAAATGTTTATAGGTTGGTTCATCCAACCACATTTCTCTTTGGCAAATCGTTTTGGTCAAGGGAAGCTTCGGCAGCAGCGCAGAGCTACCGGAGGGCCAAGAGCAAGGGGGAACTCGAAGCAGCCTTGAGAAACGTCGGACCCTCCACTGGGAAGAGGAAGAGAGGGTCCTGTTGTGTTTGCCGGTCTGGCGGGAGCCTGCTGTGTGACTGGTTGTACCCTCACCCCAGAGTGCCGTGAGTTACACTTTGGTTGTTGGGAGGTGGATACACAAGCCAACTTGCACTTTCCAAGATAAAAGAAAAGAAAAATGAAGAACGACATTTTTTTTGTACACGAATGTGCCTGCTTTTGTTGACAATTTCTTACTGTAAAAGCTTTCCAGTGAATGGTGAAAATGGTTGGTAAATTTATTGCAATTTAATAGCAGGGGTTTCCTTACTTAAAAAAAAATTGAAATGATATTGGAGAATTCCAATTAAAAGAGAGTCAAAGGCTATCTACGCACAAAACGGTTTAGGAAAAGAAGGTGGGATTCAGTCAGAAATGGATCATTGTGAAAGCTATCAAGCAGGTCTGTTCAGTGGGTTATTTGCCTGAATCCAGCCTATCTTTTCTTTTCTTTTTCTTTTTAAAGTTGACTGTTGTGTGTGTGTGTGTGTCTGTGTGTGTAGACACTGACACGAGGTCCCATACATTCCTCTTTTGGAAGCCAGTTCTGGGTTTTTTACTGCAACGCAGAGCTTATTTTTGGTTAACAGATGAACAATTCAATCCTATTTTAGACAATTGCAGTCACAGTCTTTCTTGTAAAGACCATCTTGAATATTACAGCACTTGATTTAAAATATACCCCTTAAATAGCCTTAATTGCTGTGAAGTTCATAATCTTAAGTGAACAGGATATCTATGTAAATGTATGTATATGTATATTACAAATGACATGTCAATATACATACAGGCAGACACACACATATGAACTCTGAGAACATGTTGGCAGAAAACTCCAGTATTCTAATCTTGCCACCAGATAAAATATCACAGGACCCCTCTTTAAGATTGGTGTGCTAAGACAGGGCTAATGGCCTTAAAGACAAGCCCTATCATGTCAGACTGATAAAATATGAGCTATGGTATTTTGGAGGAAGCATCATCTGACCTGAATCAGGATAGTATGGAAAGAGCACTGGATTTGGAATCAAAGTACCTGAAGTTAGAGGACCTGGGCTCTCATGAGAGATCTGCTACTTACTACCTGTGTGACCTTGGGCAAGTCACTTCATCTACCTGGGCCTCAGTTTCCTCATCTGTAAAATGGTTAGACTAGATGATTCCTAAGGTCCTTTCCAGCTCGAAGTCCTATGATCCTATTATCCAAAGGGGTCTTACTCTAGTCCCCAAAGAGAATGCTTAATCCCCAGTCCTCCATGCTAATGGGCAGACTCACAGCTAAGATGGCAGAGGAAACCAAAAGAAAATGTGAATTCTCATTTGGGACTTCATGGTGGCAATGCTAATAGCATCAATTTACACTAAGCAAGCAAAGGGGAAAGAGTTAGGGACTTTATGTTTTGTGGTGCATGGAGTTTACTTTTAATTTTAAAAAAATATTTAAAATGAATGGATATTGAAGTAACCTATAATCTGGGGATTCTGGGATCAGATCATATTTCCTGTGGGTAGCAGGAGTGATGGATTTGGAGCCAGAGGACCTGGGTCCAAATCCTCACTCTGCCTCATTCTACTTACGTGACCCTGGGTAAGTCATTTGCCCTCTGAGGGCCTGTTTCCTCATCTGTACAAGACAGGGTTGGACTAGAAGACATCTAAAGGATGCTTCCAACTCTAAAATCCTATCATCTCAAACTGGGGCTATCTTTATTTAAAGGTTAGGTCCGCTCGGATGCCCCCTGCTGATGACATTTGCTCCATTGTATTCCATATAGCATCATCATAGTCAACCCCTGTCAGGAACCTGGAAATGCTGTTCCCACAACTATGGAGGTGGTCCTGGTGAATCAGATAGTTCACAAAGCACCAAAGCCAAACAGAAAACTGAGGAAACATCACAAAATTTAAGCAACTCCCCTCTATTCCAAAGTGGTCTACATGGCACAATAGAAAGCAGAGCTTTGTTATTTAACTGATTCATTTTGATCATGTAGGTAGATGAGCGCATTAATTCAGACCAATTAGTATTAAGCTGGTGTTTGGCTGTCAGCCAGTATCCATCAAATTAGTCAGATAATTGGTCAGTATCCACTTTGTGTTTTATAGACACACACAAAAAAGATGGAGGCATTTGGTTTATGGAATTCATCAATATAGACTCAAATTTATACTTCATTTTGCTTGTGTCAACAGTAGAGGAAAATGACTCATCTCCTCTAGCCATGTCTATATACTTATTGTATATCCACCTTCTCTTTCACATTAGTTATGCTTTGGTAACAAGCACTTACAAAGTGCCTATTATGTAAAAGGCACTGTGCTAGGTGCCAGGGATACAAAGACAGTTAAAAATAGCCTCTGCCCACAGGGAACGTATATTCTACTAGGCAAATATAACATAGGGAGGAGGGTAGGAACTGGACCTTTGATTCCATTGGTATAGGGAACTCATTCTACCGAAGCAGGTCAGCAGCCTTTCTGCCACTTATGGTCTTAGGATTCAACATGTAAATTTACAAATATATTAATGATCATTTGAGGAAGTAGAGAGCAGTAACAACTATGGGAATACACAAATACACCAATGGATGTGAGATTTCCTTGATGTGGTTATTCCCTCCAAAAATGAAGTTCACAGACTGCCCATGTCCTTCCAGGTTCATTACAAGGGGTCCAGCCAATGTGCTGGGAAGCCTTTATCAATTTCAGTTGACATCATGAAGATACCAATGAAACACACAAGGGTAGTATCACAGTTACATAAACTTGGGAGGGTGGTTATAGAATGTAAGCTCCTTGAAGACAGGGCCTGTTTCTTTTTTACATGTGTATCCCTAGCTCATTGCACAGTGCTTGGCACATAGCAAGCACTTAATAAATGCTTGTTGAGTTGATCACAGTTCCACAGCACCAAACAATTGTGGGCTCTCCACTTCACCTTGGCTAAGTACACATAACACAAAGTGACAGTAGGAGTGGGGTACCTCAGGGAACTGGCAATTATCCAGTTGATTTGCTCAACTTAACAATTAATCTAGATGGTTTGAGCCCCCAAATGGATGGTTTCACCACAATAACTCTGTTTGGCTGGCTATATTGATCAAAGACATTGGATGACTGCTAGAACTTCAAAATGGATGATTTCACCACAATTACCCTGTTTGACTGGCTATATGGATCAACGACATTGGATGATTGCTAGAACTCTCTTTGTGTTTTGTGCTGTGTAGACCCTGCTAGACTTGGCAGAGTTTAGATTTGATATTTAGCTGTAAGGTAATCTTTTCCTGAGGAAAAATAAGACTCTTTTCCTAATATTAAAAAATGGTATGAAGTGGAGAGGAATTCAATTTCTGGAAAGGTTGCTAAGTTGAGTTTGGACCCAGTGACTCAGAAAGGATACATGCAGTATTAGCATAAAGTGCTAAATCTCATAGTATTATTTTGTTTTCTCTGATGTTTTTGATGTGCACAATTTGTACAACCTAAACTGTCAAATGCCTTATGAGTCTTTCCAAATTTGCAATCAAAATGTGTAAAACTTTTTTTAGTCTTTTCTTGGGATAGCACACACTTATTTTTGGTTTACTACTTATTTCCAAACTCTGGTGGCCCAAAGCTCTGGACATGGCTGATTTTCCCCTCTTCCCAGAACCTGGGATGAGAAAAGGTGTTCTCTCAGATGGCCTCATGGAATGATGGGGGTCTAGCCACTGGTTAGAGAGAATGGATAGGACAGGTTGTCTGCTTCAGAGAGTCACCCCACAGCACAAGCATGCTGGCCAAAACCTGGGGTCAGGAGCTGTCATGATGGATATCTAGGTGGAAGGGAGAATATAGGAAGAGGAGCTGGAGAGGCTATTTGAGTTGTCCTTTTCTCTGTGGGCCCAAGAGAAATTTAATTCATACAAGCCCACGGGGCTAATAATGCCAAATAATATTTTAAAGGCAAAATATTGTTAGTTCCATAAACACCTAGTTCTATTTTTTGGAGGTTGATACAAAATCAGAATACCAACATTTTATTTTTAAAAGTTTTGCTATAAGAATCAAAATTCCAAATATTCTGAAACTCCAATTGTCCCAAAGACCAGTGCTCAGGGAAACTCCATGGAAAAGGAAGGAATTGGTCTGATTGTTCTCATGGTTAGAATTCTAGCTCCAGATTTCTTAAGGATGCTGAATTTATTATTTTTTTATTCATGTCCATCTCACTCTATGTTATCTTTTCTATCTGATATTTAGAATTTCCACTTTATGCTCATTCAGTATTGTTACTTTTCTTCAAATGGGCCTTTTCCCCTGTCACTTTTCCAGTTTATGATATCAATGAAAGGTATAGAAGTATATTAGATATGTCAGCAAGTATATATTGAATAATTCATCATTTATAAATTAATATATTTAAACTTCATTCTATGGTTTGAGGCAGTGGCGACATTTCTCAGCCCAAATTCATATATTGTTTATTTAAATATAGAACAGCTGAATTAGGGTAGCAGGTGATGTCTTGGGAAAGTAAACTTACCAGAGAAGACAGGCTTTCATAAAGGATTCATCAAATAGAGCTTGTGTGGCCTGAGACCCCTGGCAGAGCAGTAACACCCTGAAGCTACTGGGGAACCACTTCAGTTGAAACAGTGTTGACATAGGCAATGGGTATCACTTTTCTGAGTGAAAAATTCAGATAAACTACTGGCCATTTCATTTTTAAAACCCAATCAAAATGATGGCTTATTCATTTTCATGTACACCAAATAAGGTTGTCTGACTGGATTCCTGTCCTATCCCCCCACTTCTCCACCCCCATTAATTAGTGTTTCAATGTTGTATTGATAGTCAAAGTGATAAATGTGGCCTATCAGGCCTGGCTGTGATTCTTGTTACTTCTAGGAATATCAAGGAATATTTACCACCACATTCTGCTCATTGGGGGCTCCATGATAAGGATGAAGCGTGTTTACTTTTTAGTAGCATTAATTTTCTGACCCATGGATTGGAGGCTGTATTGTCTTAACATGGGGTGAGAGATGCCTCC